ATCTCCGTGGAGCACGTCCAGCAATAGCTTCTTGAGAAAAAGGAACACGGCAGGTAGATATTTAAAATCTTGTTGAGTGAAAGTGTTATTTTTTTCTTACTGTCCCACTTCATGGATAATCTGCCAGAGCATAGAATTTAATTCTAGGTTGAAACTCAGAATTTCGAAGACATTGTCCCATTGGCTTCCATTTTTGTTCAGAATCACTATTTTATATGTAAGCCGTTTTGTTTTCTTTGCTTTTTCTCTCTGGTGTAGTGTAGGATCTTCTTTTTACCACGAATATTCTAAAGCTGTACAGTCGAGGCTTTGAAGCAGGGGAGTTGGTGTCATTCACTGTGTGGGCATTTTGTGGAGCCTCTTGATCCAGAAATTCACGGTTCTGGGAAATATTCTCATCGCTACCATTATTTTATAGGGGCTCCTAGCTGTCTGTTTTCCCTAGCCTCTCTCAGTGATGACCCTCCTCCCCTGACCGAGCCCTTGATTCGATCTCTTTCCCCTCCCGTTTTCATCTCTTTGGCTTTTGGTCCCCAGTCTTCTTTTGGAGATTGCTGCTTTCTCTTCAAATCCTTCTATGGGATTTTTTTCTGCTTTTATTTTCTCTAGACGAGGGCCCTCTAGTCTCTTCCTGGTGGCCACAGCCCAGATCTTTGTGTAAACTAAACACACCTCCCATCAACCGGTTTGGGAGAAATCTGCTGGGTGTGTGTATGGGATGTCACTGAACCCTTCGGTTGGGTTTGGCATCTCACCCCCGCCCTCCTTTGGTCCTCTGTTCTGCTTTGCTGCGTGGATTTCTTTAGAGAAGAAAGCCCCAGTCCTTCAGGCTGCTCAGGGTTGGGAGTGGGGACCTGGGTCTAGCAGCGTCTTTCTGCGGCCCCCCTCATCCCTTCTGTCTGGGTTCCCTGATGCCCCCGAGTTCCTGACGTTCGAGACGCCTCCTGTCTGTGCGCCCCCCACCCCAGCCGTGTGGGAGCTTAGGTTCTTGCTGCTCTCTGCAGAGCTGTTCACTGTCTCTCTGCCTGCTTTCCATTTCCTGAGCCAGTTCTCAGAAATATTCTCAAGTCATTTACTTGACATTTCTTTGCTTCATTCTCTTTAATGAAGGTAGTGGCTCAATCCTTTACGTTTCTTACGTATTTTCTCCTGTTGTCCATCTGCGGCAGAGTGACAGGCATGGAGAGGCCAGGCTGATGGGGCTGTGCGGGAGGCAGTGCGAGCAGAACTCAGGGACAGGTGGGTGGGGGTGAGGGAGGTGTTAGGGGACTGCGGTTCCCAGCTTCCTGAGGTAGAGACGGCAGGACCCACTGGCCAGGAGGGGACCGCTTCTCTCCTTGGTGTTAGGTATGAGGTGTCTGTGGGACATCCGTGCTCACATTTCTGGAAATCAGTTGGCTACGTGGTCAGGAGCTTTGGGGAGAGGGTTGGGCTGAAATCTTGGGGGAGCATGTGGCTAGGAAAGCAGTCAGCCTAGGACAGAACTAGGGGAAACCCCAGACTTTATTGGGGACAGAGGGACAGAAGCTAACAAAGGAAACATTAAAAAAAAAGGGAGATGTTGGAGAGTCCTGAGAGGACAGCTGTGGTGAGGGGGGCTGGAGGCCAGGGAGTGGCTGCGGCTGCGCTGGGAGCTCCGGTGAGCGGGTGGGAGGTGGGGGAGAGGGAGCAGGTGGACGGAAGCCAGGCTAAGCCATTGAGGCTCGAGCAGCAGGGGGAAAACGGAGGTCCAAGCGCACACTTTTCTTCTGAGATGTTTCCATATAAAGTCAGCAGGTGGGAGGTTACTGGCTACAGGGGATGTGGAGTAAAAGGGGGTTTTATTTCATTTTGCCAATGAAAAAAGTTAAAGCAGGCTTGTGCTGTCAGGGAGAGGAAGCAAGACACAAGACAAGGCCCTTCTGAGCTTTGGGCTGCTGAGGCCTCGCTGCTCTTCGGAGGAGATCTGTGTTTCTGGGCTCGGTTTGAGGGGAATTTGCTTCTCCTAAACATGCATTTGCTGGGAGCAGCGTTTGGGGGCTGACGTCTGCCTGAGCATTGCCTCGGCTGATGTGGAGCCAGTGTGGAAGGCAGGCCCCAGACTCAGACAGGTGGTGTGTCTGGGGGGAGCCCCCCTGGGTGCGATTGCTCCCACTGGCAGCCCTCAGGTTGATGCCTGAAGCCATCACATATGCCCCGGGGGAATCCTTGTCCAGCCCCTCCTGGGGCAGGGTCAGATGCCAGGCACGTTTGCTCTCCGTGGAGGAGGTGCTCTGGTGGAGGCTGAAGGGGCGAGAAGAGAGGCTGGCCCTCCGCCCAGGCAGGGCGCACCGACTCAGAGCCCTGGGAGACTCTGCCTGCCAGGCGGGGGGTGTTTAGTTCCTGTGCTGACAGGAGCCAGGACAGGGTTAACAAGCCCTGGAAAATCTACCAAAATAACTCAAGAGACCTGGTTCTTCTTTTTTGTTAAATATTCCGGGCACGGACACCAGGCCTCCCCGTGACCGGCCTGCGGTCGGCTGTCTCAGGGTTTCCCTTTTCGGTCACACTTCCCATCCTGGCCCAGATAAGCTCCACTGCCGAGGCCGGTCCCATGGGTGTGTGCAGTCGGAGATGGGGGTGGCTGCAGACGCTGTTCCCAGACGGAGACTCAAGAGGGGTGGCTGGGGGCACGAGGGCAGGGCTGAGGGGCCCGGAGGCTCGTGTACCCGCAGCCCCATGCTTCCCCCTGCCTGCTGTCTCTCCTCTGGGCCCCTTCTGGCTCTTCCCACCCCCACACCACTAATTACACTTCTCCTTTTCAGAACCACCCAAGATAGCCTGAATTCATCTGGAAAACGTGTGTGTGCACACAGATGCGTGTTCAAGGACAGGGAGGCCCAAAATGGTTTCTTCTTCCAGAGCTCTGCATGGAGTTTGCTAATCTGACCAGCTGAAAGCCTACTTTTTAAGAAGTATCATTAAAGCAGGAAGTGGTTTTCCAAACATGTTCCTCTCTGACAGAATGGGGGTGGGAGTGGGGCTCCCGGCCTCAAGGAGCGGCAGGTCTCTGAGAGGTAAGCAGCCCAGCGTGCTGCCCCGCCCGGATCCTGGTGATGGTCTCAGGCTTGTCCCTTGGAATAGCCACATTGCCATATTCCTCTGAAGAGGCTCCTTGTGTCTCTGCGCCTGGCATCAACTCATTGTTTATGTTAATAGTCGATCAAGAACTGACACCATGGCCTTGGGTGTTGGCTGTGACCTGCATGGTCTTCCTGCACAGACTGTCAATGCTTTCTTTCTGGGGACAGGGGAGGGTCAGGCCTCAATCTCACCAGGTCTTTTGTCAGCTAGTGACTCAAAATAAGTTAAAAGGGCTGCTTTTCCCCTCCTTTCAAGCACCAGGTAGTGAAGCCATCTGGTGGTTTCCCTAAGGCCAAAGGTTTTCTAAGCCAAGCTCTGCCCCCTGTGCAGGGTCCCAGCTGGGCTTCTGGAGAGACTGGCTGTTTTCTAGGTCCCACAAGGCCCCCTTACTCCCCCAACAAGTGATAGCTTCTTGGCTGCACTTCAGAAGCATTTGTCTTCCAGCTTGCCCTGTGGGGTGAGGTAATACTTTAGGATCTCATATTTAGAGAAAAGGCTCCCATCTTTGCTGCTAGTGAGGTACAAGCCCAGGAAGTCTCCGTTGTCTAGGAGAAAATAGAGCCCTCAGGAGATGCCCCGGAGGACAGGCTCCCTTCTGGGCCCCAGCAAGGAGGCAGGGTGTTCCTGCGACAAAGCACTTACCGCGAGAGTGTTCTTGCTCCAGCCACCGTTGGCATTTGATGCAATGTAAGTGTCGATCGCATGTACCTTCTCCAACTGTGCTTACAAGCCTGTCAAGGGTGGGCCCTACCTAGGACTGAGGTTTCCCGGCAGGACTGGGCTTGGGACTCGGAGGGGCCAGTGAGAGTCCTCTCCTGTGCTTATGCTCATATCTCATTTACCTGAAAAATTCACCCTACCCTGGAATGCAAACATCCTGCACAACCTGGAGGGAATAACGTGTCTCATAGGCATGGAACTGGATGGAAACCCAAGGCTTTAGAGTCAGTCCTAAGTCTCCTTGCAAGGTCCTTGAATGAACCACCTCATCTTTCCTGGCCTCGGTGTCGTCATCAGGGAAGTGGCACTAAGAGGAAGATGGCCCTTTGCTGGATGCTCAGAGGGAGAAGGAAATGGGACTGTGGCCCTGAAACACCTCGCGTGTGTCTGGGACATAGCAGGTGCTTGATAACTAGTTGGGATCCGTGTGCATAGGTTAACTAATTTTTTTTTTTTATTGTGGTGAAATACACATAGTACCATTTTAGCCATTTTTTAGGGCTCTCATTTTTACTTTTTTAAAGTGTACAGTTCAGTGGCATTAAGTACATTCACAATGTTGTATAGCCATCTGCACCATATAGTTCCAGAACTTTTTCATTAACCCAGAGAGAAGACCCTTACCTTTTAGGCAAACACTCCCATTTCCACCCCCATGAGCCCTGGGCAGCCAGTCATCTTTTTGTCTCTACGGACTTGTCTATTCTGGATATTTCATACTAATGCAATCAGGTAATTCATGGCCTTTAGCGTCTGGCTTCTTTCCCTCAGTGTAATGTTTGCAGGGATTATCCATGTTGTTACGTGTGTTAGTACTTCATTCCTTTTTATGGCTGAATACTATTCCTATGGGGCCTTATTTTGGAGAATTCACAGGATGGACCTGAATGGTACAGAATGTCACCCACTCTGGGTCAGGATTCTTTCTGTCATTATTTCTAATAGAATATAGTGTAGCACTTTTGTGACGGGAGATGTGGCTGCAGACTCACAGGGATCGGGAGGGCAGGGCCAACCACCAGAGAGCTGAGCTCTGGGGCAGCAACCAGCGCCCAGAGGGCTTCTGAGCTGCTTCTCTTACAGTGACAGCAACTTCTGGCCCAGCCAGAGCCGAGACCTGGGCTCAGGCAGGAAGGGCCAAGCTCAAGGGTGTAATAGGCTCCTTGTGTCTCCCCCAGATGCAAGAAAAAGCTAAGGAGATCTACATGACCTTTCTGTCCAGCAAGGCCTCGTCACAAGTCAACGTCGAAGGTCAGTCCCGGCTCAATGAGAAGATACTGGAAGAACCACATCCGCTGATGTTCCAGAAACTCCAAGACCAGGTAACTGATCTCCTTACCTACACCTTGGTTTGAAACCGATGTTTATTCCTAGCTTGGAAGAATTCAGTTAAAACTAAACATCCTAGAAGCCATCCCATCCAGCTGGACAAGGTGAAGCACATCGAGGGGCCGTGGCTGGGGAAGGAGAGAGGGCTGGCAAGCCAGGCTTGGGATAGGGTGCACAGGAATCTCCCTCAGGCCATTTACTCTCAGCCTGCACACAGTTTGACCACCAGGGTTATCTATCTTCCAATCCAGATTAGAAGGGAGGCTGAGGCTATTTGAGGAACCTTCACTGAGGAAGCAACATGGTAACTGGGGAAGGTAGGAACAGACAGAAAAATCTAGAAGGCAAGTGCAAGGACTCAAAGTGGTAGGGAACCAGGGGCTGTTTTTGTGCAAATATCCAGACATCACCTTCTCCTTCTGGTGGCCCAAGACTATAAGTTAGCTCATGATAGGGCTCCTGAGTCATAATGAAAAGCTTAACATTTGGCAGTACATTCCAAGTGAATCAGAAAAAAATAGGTGTAAAGAATGGACCTACAAGGGGTAAATTAGCTTTCTGGCAAATTTTCTTATGAGGAATGCCAGTGGTAATAGGCAGAAGGGATGAAACTGCATTGCAGAGGTTTTGTCAGGCATGAATTTGCCTCTGTGCCCCTTCACAGTGCGCTCTGCCCCTACACAATGTCACATACACTCTGGTGGACAGTGGGACACAGACACTGCCAAGCCTCTGCTGGCCTCTCCTTATTGAGGAAGCAAAGGCCTTACTTGCCACACCGGTAGAGAGCAGCTTTTAGCTTAATTCCGCAGCATTCAAAGGTGAGCCCAGACCCATCTAGGGGGCCTGTGAAACTGGGTGCTGGGCCCCACCCCCAGAGCTAATGCCAGGTGCGGCAGTCCCGGGTGGGCTGGGACTTTGCCTTCCTGACAAGCTCCCCAGTGACGCTGGTGCAGGACCTGGGCCTGCGTGTTGAAGACTGGCCCAGCGCAGCAATGGGCCTTTCTGTGATTACCTGGAGTGTGCATAGAGCCAAGAGTATGTCTCAGCTTTGCTCAGCATCAGATTAGAAACAAATATACAAGTAGAAAATACAATGATGAGAAGTCTTTTGGGAATGTTTTCCAATTGACACAGTGGCAAATGAAGACCCCACATGAATTCTGAATCAAATTTGCGTGTTGAAGGAACTCCTCTTAGCATGGGAAACTTGCCGAGGGCCTCCTGGAGGTGCTGATTTTGAGCCAATGGGAAGGATGCCATGGATGTGGATTTGTGGAGGGGAAGGGAATGGAATGGAATGTGAAAGGGCAACTCTGTGGCTATAGCCACATGGGATATCTGCCAGACCTGGACCTCGGAGTCTTTGAAAAGCTTCCTTAGGTACTTTAAAGTATAGCAGGGCTGAGAATCTGTTCTGAATCCTGTATGTTCTATGTATTTTCAATAATAACAATATCTCCTATGCCAGGGCACCCTTCTGTGCCCAATGGCCACTTTGCCTGTATTATCTCATTTAATCTTCAGTGAGTAGAGTATTCCTGTTTTGATGATGAGAAAAGCAAGGTTCAAGGGGACTGAGTGGTTTGTTAGCACTAGGTCACTCAGGTAGTGGGGCATGCTGGGGGCTAGATTCACTGTCGTCCACCTGCCTTCAAAGCCTGCACTCTTTGCCACGCTCAGAGCCTGGGTTCACAGGAAGCCCCTCATTGCATCCTAAAGCCCACGACACCAGAGAAATGGAAAGGCCGCATGAATACAGGCAGTCCCACTTCCCAGGACTGCAGAAGCCCAGGGGTTAGCGGGGAATGCTGTAGGCCTGTAGGCTGATACCACTCCACATGGTGGGACCTTGGCCTCCCAAGGACCCAGATCTCCTGTGGTTAGGCCTGCAGCACATCTCAAAATAGAGCTGTACCTCTGTGACCCAGTCTCACCCCACTGGGTTCATACATGGGGAGGCTTAGCTGGCACTGAAGGGAGGAAGCAAGGGACAGAGGAAGATTTTTAAGGGACAAAGAAAAATATCTTAAAAATAACTTTCATCTACCTACCTGTAAAAGTCACACATGCTCAACAAAAGAAACTTGAGAAACCAAAGTATTCAGATGAAAAAAAAATTCATAATTCTTTATCTGGAAACAGCTGCTAAATAACATTTGCTCTCCAGAATTTCCATCTTTTAACTTTCTATAAATACGCATGACACACATCTAACAAATGTGGCACAATGCACCTCAAACCGTACACGCACAGAAATTACTTTCACACCCTGTGGTTAAAAGTCATTTATTTGAGAGGGAGAGAGAGGCATTAGCTTCCTAAGGCATAATTGGGTGAAAATAGGGTATTTGGAATCTGAGCTGATTACAGTGAGTCCTTGGATAGGGCCTCTGGGTTCTATTTTGCTGGAAAACTGTCTCTCAGGGGCCCTGCTGATAACTGTCAAAATGTGGGCTCAGCACGGTCCGTGGCTCTACTTCCAAAGGCCCCCCTGGGAGCCCTGCTTCCCTAAGTGAAGGAGTTTGAAGTGAGGGGAGCATGTTTGAACCACAAGATTTCTCATAGCTTTAGAAAACCTCCGTGGCGCCTCTGGCTCCGCTGAGCACCGCTTGGCTTCATTGCAGAGCTGCATGAGCAGGCTGCTTTGTGTCTTCAGCACCCGCTTACCAGGAAAATTTCAGGAAGCCTCAGCCCTTCCTCACGATGGAACCTAGAAGGAAGGCAAATCCTTCCTGAGCATCAGACTAGGGGACCCGATATCCCTGCACCTTATTTATTAAAGGAGAGCTTTTTGGGTTTTATTCAGGTCCTGTTTGTTCTTGGTTTACACACAGTTCTAACAGGTCTGGTTTTCCAGTTGACTGCTGAAGTGCTGGTAGAAGCCGTGGAGCGATAAGCCTTAAGGAGTGATCGCTAATAGGGAGGAAATGGAAAATGATAGTAAGCACAGAACCACAGTGCAGTGGTCTGCAGCCACCAAGTGTGGGCACCCACGGCCCCACACCCACACGGGGGCATCCCTGTGTGACAGGATGGTGACATGATTAGTGATCCTAATACCCCAAAGTATCAAGCAAAACTTAAATTGTGGGCAGCATATTCTGTGAAGAAAGTGTTAGACATTTTAGTAAGCATTTCATCAAAACAATTATCTTAAGAGAAGTCTGGGGGAAAACTCACATAAGTAGGGAGATCTTTTTCTGATTTAGTTCAGTTCTGCACACATGACCCGGTTGTGTGCCCAGCACGTACAGGTAAGCCCAGGGGAGGTGGGGACAGTACTGTGGGCATCTCTTCGGTACTTCAGCCGAGAGTCAAAGGCTGCTGTCGGACAAATTTAAGTTGCAGGCAGCAGGAAGGAAGGGGCAACCTTACAAAGAGTTGCTTTCTTCAATGAATTGTAGTCCCCTGTCTTTTTTCTCTTAAAAATCCACTACCAGCGGGTTGATTTCAGTTCTGTTTGGTTTGCTGGTGTGTGGGTTCATTCTTTCATTTGTTTGCTTATGCTACCAATATTGATGGAGGGCCCACTACATACCAGGGACCATGCCAGGCGCTGAGTGTGAGGCAAGGAAATCAGCTCCTGTCCAGCCATGAGGACAGAAAAGGGTAAATGTTAAGAAGTAGATACAATAGCCGATGGGCTAAGAGTGACTGGGGGTGGAGGGCTACTTGGGGTCAGTGGCCAGAGACGGCTCCCTGAAGAAGTGACTGAGACCTCAGTGGCAAGGGGGAGCTGGGTGAGAGGACCTGCAGGCAGGACCTTCCAGGGAGAGGCAAAGGCCCGGGTAGGGACCCCTTCGGTGTGTTAGAGGAGGGTAGTGTGGCTAGAGTGCAGTGAGTGATGAAGGTGGGAGACGCTAAGCTGGGAGGGCCTGGCCGGGGTTGGCCTGAGCCTGTGGTAACCAGACTAATTTTAAGGATTTCGAATGGTGGCTATTCGTAGAGTGTGCCAGTGGGCCGATAAGTTTCGGTCTTCTTGAAAGCTGGGCCCCTGCATGCTGATCCCCAGCCTTGGCTGTGTCCGTCCCTCACCAACTGGGCAAGAGAATGCACAGGGCTGGTGCAGAGCCACCCCTGGGACTAGGAAGCCAGCCGCGGGCCAGCAGCCTCCTGACCACGCCTTGTCATTCGTTCCCAGGTTGCCAGCCTCGCCCCCTCGCCAGCCCCTCCCCGCTCATCACTTCCTGGCTGCTGAGCTCAGATTTACTGCCGGAATCCCTGTAGGTTAGGTTAGCCGAAGTGGGAAGCGGGGGCTCGTGTTCCAGTTCTGCCTCCGTCTGGCCCCAGGAGACCTCTGTGTCCTCACCTTTAACTTGGGGCTTCGGGCAAACTGCGCAGCATCTGAGCCACGCAGCAGAGCAGCGCGTAAGCCTGCCAAGGCCTGTTGTTATGTTAGGAAGTCGGTCCCTGACGGCCACAGGCTTGTTTCCTTAGGTCTGACCTCAGCTTTTCTTTGGCTTCAGAATTTAGTTGCTCTGAAACCTTGGGTAAGATGCAGTCCCGCTCTGTGCCTCAGTGTCCTCATTTGTGAATTCCAGGTTGTGGTAAGGTGGTTGTGCAGATGAAATGCCGTCGAATCTGGGAAGTGCTGACGTAGTCCAGTGCCCGGCATGCAGCCAGCCTTCCATACGTGTGAACGTCAGGAAAATGAGCTTTAGCTTAATGGAGTTTTTCTTAACTGGAGGGGATTGTGTCCCCCCAGGGACATTAGGCAATGTCTGGAACATTCTGGTTGTCACAACTGGTGTGGGGTGCTATTGGCACCTAGTGAGTAGAGGCCTAAATGCACAGGGCAGCCCCGTACGACACAGTTACCTGGTCCAAAATGCGTTGGGACAAGGTTGACAAACCCTAGCTTCATGTGACTTCCAAAATGTAACAGCATTCACCTGCCTTACCCTCATTGAACCTTGGGTCCCCACCTAAGAAGCAGCAAATAATGTCTAATCAGTTTTCTACACCTTAGTGAATTCTGGGAAAAACATCA